ATTTGTAATGAAATGAGGATAGAAACAGAATAAAACAAGTTTCGTTAAAATCGGGCCACTGGTTACCGAGTTATCCCTGTTTTTCGGGTTACTTTTAAGAAAACTTCTAGATGAAATTAGGTACACTAGATGGCGCCACATATCGGTTTATATATCTATTCAAATTCGATGACGAAGGACGCACTTTGAGACTAATAATGCTTGAAGACGGCTTGAATGGGTAATGAAGAAAAACGTTAATATAAGTTTAACGTAACAGCAAATGTAAAACGTTTCTGATGATGACAAAATATTGTCGAAACGTTGTACATTTGCTGTTATGTTAAACTCATTAAAGGTTTTCTTCGTTACTCATTCAAGCATTATCTATCTCTTCGTTTTCCACCTGATGAATCAATTTAAAATATCTTCTATATAACAATATATGCACAACAGAAATTAAATGATGAGATGAAAATGTGTTATAACGGCGCGTAGAAAGAACAACAATAAAATGGACCTACAATACTATTGACTATTTGCAAATACTAACTATGGAGACGAGGTAATGAAATAAAAATCAAGTCGAGAACAACAACAAAATTTTATAAACGAAAACCTCTCGCCGAGCATTGGCTATTACATTATTTCCCTGTTCCCATCCTCATTAAAAGGCGTAAGATGACAAAAACAAGATCTTGAAGAATCTCTTTATATACTACTAAAACTTTGAGATTGTTTGTTTGCTTATTTTCTCAGTCAAAAAATCATTCACACTACCATTCGCGCTCTTTATGAAACTTCATCGGGCCAAGAGTTACCGAGTTAGCGCCGTTTTTCGGGTCACTTTTATGAAAATTTCTTGCATGAGTAATTTTACATCACACTACCGTTCGCGCTCTTTACGAAACTTCTTCGTTCGAATATATTTCCCTGTCAATGTTCCCATCTTCATTAAAAGGCGTAAGATGACAAAACAAGATCTTGAAGAATTTCTCAATAATGTGCCTTAGTTATGGTAGGTAATTTGAAGAAAAAAAATAAAGTGTTACCGTTTCTTATTTGTAGAAGGTTGAAGAGGAAATACTACAACATAATGAACTAATTCATCACAATACCTGATAACTCTGACTTCGCTTTTTTGAAAAATGAAATGGGCTTTACTTTTACTCCCGATCAACAATCAAATATATTTTCTTGAATTATGAATGGATTGAAATATTTAATTAAATTATCTCAAAATAAACCTTCATTTCGGTGCAAGATTGAAATTAGCTTGAATTCTTCATAACCTCTGAATAGTGGGTGACCCAACGGGTCACGGATTGTCTAGTCACTATTAAATATGATAATATATTTCTCACGTAAAATAAAAATATATATAAGGTAATTATAGAACTGTCACCAATCTATATAATATTAGCTATTCTTAAAAAAACAAAATTAAATATGCACTGTCTTTTGCAAATGTAAGGTACATCATTTTGTTGTGCACCGATATTAAACGATGTGATACATCAATAGGGAACGCTTTCAGCAAAAATTACATAAACATTTAGAAAAATGTGTACTGTACTTGAAAATCATCACACTAGTGGGTGAAACGTTGTGCATATTCTAACATACGAATATTTCCAATTCTCCACTGCAAGTTGTAAATAAATTTAAATGTATTAAAAACTGCTTTGTAACTATAAGTTTATAAAATTATTTTATTTTAATAGTATAGAATCTATATTATAAATACACACACACACACATATATATATTGAATTTGAAGACCAAATGATACAAATTATTGTATAATTTAAATTTAAAACAAATATATTACTTTGAAAACTTTTTGGTAGTTTATGAAAATAGATGTCGCTTTAATCGACAAGCAAATAATACAAAATATTTCAGTTTAACTGCACTGTAATTGAGGTTTTGTAAGTATCTTTTCAACTGTTTTTTTTTTATTTTAATTTAATCTAGGTATTGGCTTTCATTTGAACCAAATGTAAAAATAGCAAATTGTTATGTTAGCAAAAGTGAATATTTAAATGTTAATGATAGTGTTAAGTTTAAGTTTCAACTAAGAAAAAAGAATGATTCTACTTCTGGTATAACTATTAATACTTATCCTCAAAATTAAATTTAAAATACGGTCTACAAATTACAATTCAGACCGTGTTTGTATGAAACGTAAATTAATTTTGTGGCTTTTTGCTAATCAAGTGTAAAAATCACATTTACTGATGATTTAGTGTTGTATTTACATTGGTTACCATAGACTAATAAATATTAAAATAGACTCTTGACTCTGAGGACGAAAAAGTTGCCGTCAGGGTCAATCTCATTGTTAGTTTTACTATTCTAGTATTAGATGGTTACCTACATTTACACTGGGCATAAACTGAAAAGTAAACGCATAAAAGTTTAGATGGTCTGGATATGACAGGTCTTCCTTGTTGAACTTGAAATAACATTCATGGCAATACCCATTAATACAAAAAATAATAATATTGTCCACAGTACTGGACATTAGGAATGTGTGGTGCTACTTGCAGATAACAAATAGTAACTACCATTATGATTTTTGTTTTCTCTAATGAGCCCATTCTATCATTTGCTATCTGTTGCTAAGTTAGGCTGCCGGCAAACAAAAAAAAAGCAGTGAGAAATGTGGTGAGTACAGCAACCCTAGTTGCATGTTTATATCAGAAACATCCAGCAGCAATGTCAAAAAGGTACAATGAGTGCTTAACCAACATTAATGTAAAGAGTTAACCCACTGCAATTGTTAATAAGGCACTTTTTAATAATTAACTCAAACTATCAGTCTTATCTCATGGTTTTGAAACATTTTGGTTTTTATTAGTTCTTTGGCTTGAATTCAAACTTGAATTCAAATTAAATCAAGATCTGTCGTACCAGTTTGAGTGCCTTACCAACTAAACTAAAGGGTTAACCTGCTGCTAAAGGAGTCAGACTACTATATTTGCCCTTATCACAAACAATGCCAGTTTATCTCATGATAATCTCAACATTATTATTTTCTTAGAATGGTTTGAACATGAGACCTGTAATACCATATAAGTGCTCTACTAAATGAGCTAGAAGGTTAACCCACTAGTGACTGTTTGTAAAGCACTTTTTAATAACCCAAACTACCATAAAGTCTCATAATATTATTCTCAAAGGCAAATGTGTGTTCAGAGAATAATTGTGCATTGTTCTGGTGGTTACTTTCTTCTCACTGGGAGTGCTGGGTTTGTGATAAAAGTATAAAATTAATATTCTGGAAGAATTTTATCATTTACATTCCACGGTTTGTCCAATACATACATATATCCTGTGGCCTTTTTTTTTCTTTCTTTTTATCCCATGATAGTCACCTGAAGAATACTTGGCTAATTAAACTTTCAATATCCATTGTTGATGTTCACCATTAGTGTGCTAGGTTGCAGCTAAGCAGAAACATGCTTGTCTGCATCTCTTGACTCTTTCAAACCAACCCTCAACTAATGCTGTTGGCAAATTCAGTGTGCACATACTGAAATAATTACATATATATGGCTATGCCTATCTGCTCACCACACTGCTTTTCCTTTTTGGTGTCCACAAAGTCCTAGATTGGTTCTAGGGAATGCTAGTATAATAAATACACTGTGAGGACTACTTCATCCAGCTGCTTTCTCCAATGCTAGTTACTGTGAAAGTGACAATCCTTCTCACAGTGTTCCGAATATGGTCACGCTGCTACACAAGCTAACAATTAACTCACAGTGTCAAAGATTAGAAGGTAAAAGAACCAGTCTCATAAAACAGTGGGGGGAAGGAATGAATCTAGGTCAAGAGATGAAGAGCAAAGTTTTACTAATCTGAGATCTAAATACTAAAGTACATTAAAAGCTTCATGGAATATAATTATCATGGTTGACATGTAACACTTATATACATATTCTAGATTCATAACAAATTCTTAAATATACAACAATACAATACCACCAAGTTTAGCTTACGGCTAAATAATTATCACATCTCTTTCCAAAAAAAGAATATTTCTGTAGCCATTACATGTAAAACCTGGAGGCAAACCAGTTTCAGTAATCTCTATCTGTAATATAGTGCATAGCATTGGCAAAGGAAGATAAAGATGCTCATATGAGAATGTAAAACCACTTACACAAATCTCATCACATGCAGAAAAATTCACAGACTGTTCATCCAAGAAGCCATCCCACTTAAAAAGTGATTAATAACAAGTTGCACATATCCAATTCAACTGTACATGAGACAATTCACAAAGACTTTGTTCTTGTAAATGAGTATAAACCATGAGTGTACAAGTTAGTCCTCAGACAAAGTGTTAAGAGAAAGACAGAAAGCAGAAAACTATAATAAATATCTTGCACATGATGTAAGTTGTTGTAAAATTGGCCAAGCCTGACTGTAACAAAAAAACAGGTGTTGCTACTGGCCACTCAAAGTTAAGGACCTTTTAATGTGGAAGAAAATGTAAAAAGTTTTTTATGGGAATTAATGATTCTATAGTTGCTGCAAGTTTCTCATATAATGAGAAGTTTAGTCTACAAGAAATTTACATTAAAGCAACGTTGAACTCTAGTTTGTATCATGAAATCATTGACTCCAACTACACAAGGTGAAATTCATAAAATGTATTGCAAGGATGTCAAAAAAGATATAGCTAAATCAGGATAAAGCATCAAGTCCTACATCTAACTCTACAACAGCATTTCTGTGAAACTGATATTCATACTATCACTTTCTAGTACTAAGAAATTAACTCTATTAATCAATTATGTATGACCATTGATAGCCTCAACTAGTGCCACACAATATAATCAATTAATCAAAAGGAGAATTAAATCTATTAGTGTTCTGAAAATAATCATTTAATAAAATTTAGTGCTTGAAACTACGGCTGTTTTCGATTATACCATCTATCTATATAATCAAAATATTGCCATTATGACTTCTCCTTGTTATTTTTAATTAATTCAGAGTTGTTCTGTATAACCAGTTATTGTCGTGACTTACAAAAATAATCAATTAATCAAAATAAGTGTTTCCTATTATTACTATTATTCCAACTATCTAAGTCACATTTGAGAATAATTGATTAATAAGCCATATGATTAATCTGTTACTAATTTCCACAAATTGCTCAGTTCTATCTCCTTCTCTGACATACTTGTGAAGTCACCCAACTGTACATGCATAAACTTTTGTGTATTTAATTTATTCAAATTGGTCTTGAAACCTAATATCTAAATACAGTAGATGGTCTGTGGGAAGTTTGTCAAAAGATATAACCTAAGATTGACCTTCACAGGAGAATATTACAGTGGAAATTATGTTGTTGGATAATGAGTCATTAATTACAAATCACATGTAAACTGTTATAATTTTAATGTTTTTTTATCAGCCATCCTTTAGTTATACAAGATAAGTATTGGACTTATGGCCTTAAAAATTAAAAGGTGAAAGCATAATCTTGGCCATGAGATTCAGTATGATAAATGATGAAGAAAGAAGTCCCAAGGGCTGTATATGCATAGAAATGCTGTCTCTGCACTATAAAGGGATAGTATGAATATCAGTTTCACAGAAATACTGTTGTAGACTTAGATGTAGAACTTGATGCTTCATCCTGATTTAGCTATATCTTTTTTGGACATCCTGGCAATACAGTGCATGAATTTCACCTTGTATGATTGTGATATTATTGTAAAAGTCTTCATTTTATTAAACTAATGTTAAAAAAAGCAGTATCACTGAGCCCTATTCATCTGACAGATTCTATATTTAAAGAAATTTCTCAGTTGTTACTAACATATTTTCAAAGAAAATGTTAAACATGAAAGTCATTTAATTCAAATTTGATTTTATATACATTCTCATCCACGTTAAATTCACCAACTACAGTTGTACAATTGTTGAATGTGCCCAGGGTTAGAATGTATCACAGGTGAGCTAACTTCCAAGTTACTATTACAGATATATTCACATGCCATGTCCTTTTCTTCCAGGTTAAGAATCACTCTGTTTTCAGTATAACAATTAGAGAATTCTGACAAATTTAAGCAAAATGAGTATACAAGATTAGCAATAATAATAATAATAGTCCCACAGTATATCATGTATCCCTTAAACTAGAAACAAGACACTTTTTAAGCAACAACAAATTACTTGTACTATCATATGTTATATTAATTTATGGTATCTTCTATTTTTGTAACAGCTTTCACCTTCTTCAGAATGTGCAGTCAAACACAGCTCTTAGCATTGAGCAAAAAACCTAAAGGTGGAAACTGAAACATTGATAAAAATAATATAAACAGTGTAAAATTTAAATTTAATCTTTTTCTCTATGAATCTTAAATAAAAATAAACTGATAAAGAATATAATATATTTATGTACTTGTATATTTTATCAGCAGTATATGCTTTTATTATTCAGAATATTTAGAATTTTAAAAACCAGTAATTAAATAAGCTTTTGGGATTATTTTAGCCTGTTTTATATTCAATAATAAAGAAAAGTCTTATTATTTATTGCCTGTATTCCTCAGCCTTTTATACATAACTTTGCTTATCAGAAAATATATATATGTAATATGGTGGTAATTCCTAAGGTTGTGTAAGTTTATCTGCTAAATCTTTACTGTTGTAAACAGCTTTAAGTCTTTAATATTAAGTTCACTAATTAACTTTTTCACTACTTCACCTTGGTCTCAGGAAAACAACAAGAATGCCTGAGTCACAAGCAGCTGAATTGAAAGAAGTTATTCCAAACAAAGGCATGCTGTTCCAAGAAGAAACTTCAACATATGTCCTTTGCAAACCTAAGCTTATGCCTTTAAAGTCAGTGACTTTGGAGAAGCTGGAAAAGATGCAGAAGGAGGCAGAAGAAAAAGTCAAGAAACAGATGGACAATAGTCATTTAGAAACTAAATGATGGGAATTAGAAACTAATTTTTTTGTAATTACTTGAATTGAGTATTTGTATTAATTGTCATTGTTGCTTGATTTATTCATACATTTATGTTTAAGTTATTTCCTAAAATGTTCTTTATTGTGCAAATACCTTCCATATCTGTAATAATTAAATCATAATAAAGCAAATTTCTGTTTAGCATATCTGATATAACATGGTATTATTCAATTAACTTCATATTAAACTGATATCACTTTTACAATTATATATACCAAATGAACCCGTATAAAACAAAGACAAATAATGCATACATATTAACACGGGTCTGTTGAAATAAAATATCACAAGTCATAGTAAGACATGTCAAAAGAATATTTAATATTGATGTAAGTAAGCAAGCAAAAGAAAACCTTTAATAAAAATAATAAACTTGAAAGAAATTTAAGACAAAATAAATCTTTTACACAAAAAATCACCCAGGACAAGCATGAGGCTTCATCCCATCATCATAACCCCACCAGCATATCCTTTACTGGGGTAGTCGTCTTTCAGTTGGCCACCATAGTGGCCCTTACTTTTGTCTGTGGCTTTGGCCACTGCCCTCTTGGTATTGGTCAGCTTGACCCACAAACGTGATAGCATTGTTCCTCCTCTCTGTTGTAGAGGTCCACGGCTTCTGTCCATTTGGCAACCATCTCCTAATAGAGGTGCTTGTAGATGGAGACATGCTCTGTAATGTGGGCCAGTTTATGGGGATATGCTAAGTTATGTGGGCCAGTTTATGGGGATATGCTGTGTTATGTGGGCCAGCTTGTGATTGTTTCACTGGGACTTGGCTGTCTCTGCAGTTGCTCTCAGGACTGCTTGAATGGTAGTGGCTTGATCATGTTAGAAGCCCCTTATGTTTTCTCAGTAGATTTGACAATGGTTGTTCTGGTGACCAATATGGACACTCCTCTATTCATAGCAGTTTTCTTCAATGGTGGTGGTGATGGTTCAATGACCAGCTGGCTGATCTGGACCACCATAGTTATGCCTCACTCAAGTGCTCAATGGAATCTAGGTTTGCTTAATGGAATCCAGGGCTGGACTGCCCAAGCTCAGGATCAGATTGTGGACTGCCTGCTTCTGAGACCAATCAATCAAAGCTATTCTTTTGACATACCTTTGAGCATCATGGGTGAAACCATTTTGCCTTACTTGCAGGGCCTTGTAGTTGCAGCCAAGGCCTCTCTCTTGCAAGTTCTCAGGCAAAACCTTGCTGAGATGCCATTAATCTCATGGGTATGATGCAATAGGAACATTCAGGTACCTGAACCTTCAGACAAAATGTCAGTCTCTGGTCCAGGGTGACGAAGTAATGGATTGTTCTCGGTAGTTCTCCAAAGGCTCTACAATACATACATCAGCTGAAAACAGAAAACTCTGCAATAATATCATGTGGTCGTAACACCAAAATTTCTCTCTGTTTATTTAACCTGTGGTATTACCAGGTAAAACTGATTCCTTCCAAGAGTAAATAAGATAGATCTGCAATATAACAAAAGGTTTGGCAAGATATACTATGAAGGAATTCTGAGTGCCACTAAAACTAACTGAGTCTGTGTTAAGAAATAAATAAACTGGACACAAGTGTATAAGACACAATCTTTATTCAATCAGAAACACAATCAAAATAACATGTATGTTTTACCTTTGAGTGATATAGTTGGAAAAGTAGATTGATCAAAATTCATTTCAGACTGACAAACTCACTCGAAACTTTCCCCCTGGTTTACTAAAATTCACGTTATTTAGTTAAATCGGTAAAACCAGGCTATCCATGTGACTGGTAATTCCCATTAGAATATAATGGAGGTTGTATCCTCGAGATGTCACCACCTGCTGTTAGAGGAATCTGCTGTCGACTTCCTTGCACAAGGTGCAAATTTACAGCAATATCCTCACGGGCAGTCTAAGTATTACTTCAGGGGAATGACTGAGAACAAAGAATGCTAGAATAAAAGCAACTTAACGTCAATTTTGACCACGTGTTTTATGAAAGCAGCACATATTTAGAGTAGACGGGGATTTTTGAAAGCTCCTGTATTAGAATAAGAAGGTAAAAAACGCGTGATATGTTTGCATACCACATAAGTAGCTTGAGGAAAAGAATTTAGGCACATAGTATGATCGATGTTTAGTTTTAAAACTACATACAAAACTAGAAACGGGTATGCGCGAAAATTTTTGAAACTTTAGGACAAACAGGAAACGCTGACCTCAATAAACTATATAATGCAAGAAACACTATATATGTTCTACATACTCCATAACTAGATCTACAATTCACCATTGTCACTGCATGTGAAAAAGAAGTGATGATAGGTTATATGACGTTTCAAATAAGCGATGTAAAATGGCTCCTAGGTAGTCGTCACAGAGTTATTTATGTGTTTGTGTGTATTAATTAATTATCATGACTCTCTTTAACGTAAAACAGAATACGTTTCATGTATTTCTCATACTATACTTGTCATTTAATATATCAATTACCTGATATGTAACGCCATCTAGTGTCATTTTATCTCATGAATTGTGTTAGTAGATGAAGATTGAATTTTATAGAGTAATATAATTTGTATCTTATACAAAGTTACTTTTATAAAATCTTACACTCTAATTTCAACGTTATTTTCTTCATAATATTATGACAGTGTCTTTCCACTTAATTCTGTCATGTTTGTATGAATGTTGCTCTCATTTCTTCCTAGGATTTTTGTTTGTTGTTTGTAGTTAAGCGCAAAGCTACACAATGGGGTATCTGTGCTCTGCCCACTACGGGTTTCGTAACCCAGTTTCTAGCGTTCTAAGTTCGCAAACATGCCGCTGTGTCACTGGGGTACCTTCATAGGATGTTCATTAATTGCAAACTCCCTGTGTTTCTCTTGCCTTTTTAATGCTTTTGTCCTGCAATAAGGTTTATAAAGGGATTAAAGAAAAAACAAACAATATATAATAGAATATCACTGAAAGCTTACTAATAAATTTTCCCTTTACCTTCTCAGTTGTTTCAGTTTTGGTTTCCGGAAATAAAAATGTGGTAATCTTAAACTAAACATTATTTACTGTGATCCTAATAACCAGATGACATTTAGCGATTTACAACAACAACAAAAACTACGTACACATATTTAAGTTTGTAATATGCAAGTAATAGGAAAGAGTCAGTTCTGAATTAAATCACACATAATAAGCAAAAGACACATTTTCGCTTCACTGACAAATTGATACCTAGTGAATTGCGTTTAATAAGATGATAAACTTGCACAGATGCGAATTTAAGGAAAGAGTCAATAATGAATTAAACCACACGTAAAAGCAAAAGACACATTTTCACCTCACTGACAATTTGACACCTAGTGAATTGTGTTTAATAAAATGAAAGATGTGGACATTGAAAAAATTATAAAGTCATAACGAAATGAGACGGAAATAGTATACGCCACTTAAGGGACTCTAGAATTTATAATTGACAAACATACACCAAAAGAAGGCAAACTTTAATTCAATTACTGCAAATAATATAAAACTAAAAAGTTCCTTTTATGAATTTAATTTACAATTCCTGTTATCATCCATTTGAATTGCTTGAACAATAGAAAAAATGTTGCTACTTAATTTTAATCAACGATGCTTTGATATTGCTTTTATTCCATCATAATTTAGCATTTAAACATCAAAGAAAACAATATCTTATATCAAATTATATATTTCGTGAGCAAAGCTTAGCAGAATAACGTGTTAGTACTGATCTGTTGATAATAGGCTTAAACTTGGTAATATATTGTAAAAGTGTATACGTACCTAAATTGAATCGCTACTGTATATCTCCTGAGAGACTTTGTAATATCAAGTTATTCAAAAAAAGTAAAACAAAACTAGTGTGCTACAGGATAGTATATCAGTCTCTGTCAAAAAGACCCAGGCTCGAATCCTGGCACAATCACAACAAATTATATTCTTTCTCAGTACGTCTCTGAAGACTTTGGCAGGTTAATAACCGATATGTTCGTTGAACTAAGTAATTATATAGTATCTGGTAATTAAAGAAATATTTGTAACTAATTAATAATTAACTTAGGTGATCGTATTGGATACTAAACGTGACAACGACTGATATCCGATCTTTACAACTTTACTGTAATTAAAGCGACACTGGTTAAACCACGCCATAAGAATAATGTAGGCTTAACACAGTTTATAGCTGTCATCTGAACTTTTTTGACAAATTTGTTCATAAGCCGATTTTTTATATGAATTACTAATACAGATAGATAGATATAAGTAACTAATTAATACCTAAACGTAAGTGGTTGTATAAGCTACTAAACACGACTAAGATAAACCTGTTTTCTCACTATCTGTGGCTGTATTGCACAGTAAATGCACCTGAATTAACGTAACTATAATAATCCATGTCGTTACGAATGGTTATAGATATATTTCCGAAAGCGTCTGAACTACTTATTTTTTCTCTATCTTAAAATGAACTAAGTTCTACCTAATTATTACGTGTTAGTTGCTGCCACTAAGAATGTATAGAGACAATTAATTCGTACTATCTAGTGTCATTCTAAAACACTGCAGTGTTAACTAGACCGTGTGGAACTCATTTTATTTATTTGCAATCACTACAGTTTATTTCCTACTTACAATTCTGCAGTATTACATCAAACTTTTATTCATGTTTTTTGTTTCAGACATGACTCTTACAGACTTTGTTCTCTCTGTTACTCACATGCTAATAACTGTATGTTAACTATTTTCTGCCTTCCTTTTAATCTTACAATCTTATGTATATTTTTAATCTTAATATTTTTATTTGCCTTATAATTTAATTTTGAAGATATTTCAATTACGTTTTGGCATTATTTAAATATTGCCGTACCTTTGTTAAATTCCTATTATTAATTAATACGGAATCATTATAGAAGCTATGGACTAGTCTTAACATATTTTCGAAGTTTCTATTTTTGTGACCGAACAGGTAACACTAAAAAATTAAAATAATATCCTGGTACATCTTGTCACTTGACCTTTACGCTATTTCTAACTGAGCATCGACGGTGCGTCGCCTGTCGCTCACCTGTAGTCGCAATGGTTAGCACAAAGCATCACGTGGTTGCATAAACAACGTCATAAAATTTGGTCTCAGTGGA